CCCCCGCCCCGGCGCCCGCCCCCGTCACCGCCCTGCCCACCTCGCCCGCGCCGGCACCCGCCCCCGCCCCCGCCCCCGCCCCGGCTATCAAGAAGAGCCGGCAGAAGGCGGCCTCCCTTGGGCCGCGAGGGGCGGCCTCGAAGCCGCGGAAGAAGCCCGCGGCGCGGAAGAAGCCGGCGGCGGCCGCCGTCGCCCAACCTCCTCCCGCCGCGCACGAGGTGTTCGAGCAAATGGCAAACCCATCCTCGTTCATGGACCTCCTCCAAAACGCGGAGGTGGACCTCGGAGCTCCGCCTCTAGACCCCTTTAGGGTTGGTGACGACTTGGAGGAGAAGGAGGAAGATGAGGAGGAGGTGGGGGATGACGAGGAGGAGGTGGCCGAGATAGGGGAGGAGGCATTCACCGCCGCTTCCCGTCCACACGCGCGGTCGACAAACTACACCGAGGCGGAAGATGTCCTCTTGGTTCGTGCTTGGGCAAGTGTGGGAATGGATGCAACCACCGGCACCGATCAAACCTAAGGGAGAAGATGGACCACATGATGAAGGCAAGAGAGGAATTGACAACGAAGACATTGGAGACGAAGCTTCTTATCACCGAGAAGAAGAAAGAGGTCAAGCTTGCACAAGTTGAAGCAAAGCGTGAAGAAGCAAAGCGCAAGGCCGAGTTGGAGGAGAGGATGATCAAGCTCAAAGAGGCAAAGGTATGGAAAGAACTCATGGTGGAGGAGAAAGAGCACATGATGATGTCCAAGAAGGACATGGATCAAGACCAATTGCAATGGTGGAAGGACTACAAGGAGGACATCGCGGAGAGGAAGAGGATGTTTCGTGTTGGGTCCTCTACTTTTCGAGGTGACACTCCGATGAGTAGTTGTGGTGATGGCGGTGTGTACGACTCCATCGGTCGCGATGGAGATGCTTGATGGAGCCCGCTTGTGGTCTAGGGGATGGCGCCGAGGTGCAACTTTTGGTGATGGTGCCGATGAGAGGAGGAAGATGATGATTTTGTGATGTAAACTATTAAACCATGCATCAATGATTGTCATTTGATAGTTTGTTTGGAAGTCCATTGTGTTCTTGTTGTCATGAATTGTGAGATGTCAAATGATAGTTTTAAAGGTTGGGGTTGAGGCAAAGACTAGAACCCTCAAATCCAATCCTTAAAGCAGTTTACGGGTTGGGTTTGAGGGTTCTAGTATTTGCCACTATTTTTCAACCCTTAAAAGTGCCAAAAAGTGGCACAACTCAACCCTTAAAAGTGCTTTTTAGATTTGAGGGTTTGAGGGTTCTACTAGTAATGCTCTTAATTTCATTCCAAGGAGAAACACCCCACCTGCACTGCATCAAGCAAGACTCACAGGACCAACACAATGCAATGGCGCCCACACCACACACACGCTGACCCACCTCGTACCGTACGTGCATGCCCATAACCCGCAGGCCACACATACTCACACACAGCCATAGAAACGCTCTCTGTCTGTTATCCATTTATCCTTTGCAGATTCGTGGACATGCACGCATGATGCAGGCCGGCTAGCTCTGCAACAAACTGCCATGGCCACTACCCTCTCCTCGATCTCGTCCTGCCCTGCTCCTCGCTAGTGCACCACCACCAGCACTGCCACTAGATGCACAATCTATCAACCAGTCAGCCAATATGCTACTAGTACATCCAGGCAGTACACAGTAGCATGTAGTATGTCAGTATGTCGACCTACGTGTTGCCTAACTCATGGCCGTAGCCAACTTGCCATGAGAAGTTGGAATCTGGAGTCGTCACCACCCATGGAGGAGTTGTAGCACTTAGGGCATCTCCAGCCGCTGGCCCCCCTAGAACGCACAAAAATCGCCCCTTGGGGGCGAGCCGGCGAGACACTCGGCGCTGGGGGCGGTTTTTCGCCCAGTCGCCGCCCCCAGCTCGCCCCCAGGCGCCGAAATTGGCCCAATTTGCAGCCCAATTTCGGCGAATAAACGGCCCATATGGGCGAGAATAGGCCCATATTCGGCGTGGTTTCGCCCTGTCTCGGCGTTCATTTATCAACATAATTATTCCTTATCACATATTTCATCATAGAAAAATCAAATACTTCAACAAAATAGTACAACAACAAATAGTTCAATACAAATTATATAGTTCAACAAATAAAAACTCGCATTTCATCACGCGGCGTCCCCCTTGAGCCTCCATAGGTGCTCAATCAGATCTTTCTGCAGTTGATGATGCACCTGTGGGTCTCGGATCTCTTGACACATACTGAGATAGGCAGTCCAAGTTGCCGGTAGCTGGTGATCAACTTCGGCTAGAGGACCCTGCCTGTAGTATGGTTCAGTGTCAAACACTGGGTCTTCTTGCTCGCTCTCGATGATCATGTTGTGCAAGATGACACAGCAAGCCATGATCTCCCACATTTGATCTTTCGACCATGTCTGAGCGGGGTACCGAACAACAGCGAATCAAGATTGGAGCACACCAAATGCCCGCTCGACATCCTTCCTGCAAGCCTCCTGAACCTTCGCAAACCAGGCGTTCTTGCCTTCTGGCACAGGGTTTGAGATCGTCTTCACAAATGTCGACCATCTCGGATAGATGCCGTCAGCTAGATAGTACCCCTTGTTGTATTGGTGCCCATTGATCTCGAAGTTCACCGGAGGAGAATGGCCCTCAACGAGCTTGGCAAAAACAGGAGAGCACTGCAACACGTTGATGTCATTGTGAGTTCCTGGCATACCAAAGAAGGAGAGCCAAATCCAGAGGTCCTGTGTGGCTACCGCCTCAAGCACCACACTGCAACCGCCTTTGGAGCCTTTGTACATCCCCTGCCAACCAAATGGGCAGTTCTTCCATTTCCAATGCATGCAGTCGATGCTTCCAAGCATCCCAGGAAATCCTCTTGCTGCATTCTGGGCTAGGATCCGAGCAGTGTCTTCCGCATTGGGTGCTCTCAAGTATTGTGGCCCAAACACTGCCACTACTGCCCGACAGAACTTGTAGAAACACTCTATGCTGGTGGACTCGGCCATGCGCCCATAGTCGTCGAGTGAATCACAGGGAGCTCCATATGCAAGCATCCTCATCGCTGTCGTGCACTTCTGGATGGAGGTGAATCCAAGAGCGCCAGTGCAATCCATCTTGCACTTGAAGTAGTTGTCGAACTCCCGGATGGAATTCACAATCCAGAGGAAGAGCTTTCGGCTCATCCGATAATGGCGCCAAAATGTTCTCTCGCCATGAAGTGGAGCATCGGCGAAGTAGTCGGAGTAGAGCATGCAGTAGCCTTGCAGACGATGCCGGTTCTTTGCTTTCACCCGCCCCGGCGCCGAGCCACCTCGACGCGGCTTTTCATTGCTCCCCAGCAGCTGGGCGAGGGCGGCGAGCACCATCAGATGCTCTTCTTCCTGGACGTCGGCCGCGGCTTCCTCCTCCAGCAGCGCGGCGAGCTCTTCCTCCTCATCAGAGTCCATCGCCGAGTCAGTCAAAACGCCAAACACCTTGCGCTCGTGGGCGTGTACCCGCCGTTAAACCGCGCCTCCGCGCCGGAAACGGCGGCCGGCACCGCCTAGTGCTGCGGGGAGGGGTTGCCGCGGCGAAGCGCTGCTATTTTCAGGCGGGGAATGGCTATCTAGGCGGAGTAGGCCGGCGACCGTCGCCGGGATACAGCTAGTGCTGGCCGAGGGCGCGGGGGGGTGCGAGGCGAGTCGGGGAAGAAAAACTTGACTTTTCCCCTGTCGGTGTGGGCCAGGCGCGCTTTTCATTAGCGCCAGAGCCCCCAAGGGCTCCCCAGCGCGCCGGGTTCGGCCTGTGACCGCCGGGCGGAAAAAAGGCCCGAACCGGCGATTTTCGGCGCCCTTGGGGCGCGACTGGGACGTTTTTTCGGCGCCGGCGCGAAAAAATCGCCTGGGGAGGCCTTCTTGGGGGCGCGGCTGGAGATGCCCTTAGCACCACGTACATAATCATGAAGAATATGTTCTCTGTTTGGATGATAGTATCTTGTGCAGATTTGCACACGTGCATCCGGTTCAGAGCCATGGCCAGTAATCTAAACCAGAAACACCAGGCAGCAGCACGCTCGTGGGCTGTTCAATTCTTTAACTGCAAGGCTCGAGGGAGGAGATGAATTCCAGGTCCCAAACGTACGGATCCAGTAAACAAATTCCCAAGCCCCAAACTTGCTTTAATTCATATTCCTAAACATGATTATGACGCAATGCCATGCTACAGACCAGATAAGCCTTCTAATTGGGTTTAAGCATGATTATGTAATACTGTATGATACAGTGCCATGACATTACTAATCTACACATGTAAGAAAGAGTAATTAAAAAGTTAAGTTATAATTGGCTCACCGTCCGGCCCCTAGCTGGCCCCTGCTCCTTTCTTCCTCCTCCCTCCCTCCCCCACAAAGCATAAAGCACGAGCAGCAGCCGGCCACTTTGGCCAGCCATCAGAGCTACTACTACTGAGCTAGCTAGCAGTAGCAGCCATCATCCATCCCATCCCAGCACCATCATATCACTCATATCACTCTGCTCACACTCTCAGTCTCACTCGCACCTGAATCTGATCTGCCTACACAACGAATCCAAGCTAGCAAACAAGTTTACCAGCCTCTGTCTCAAAGAGCTCACTTCATTCAGAGGGCGGCAACGGCAAGACAATGGTGGAACCAAGCAGATCGGCCGGTGCCAAGAGCTCCACCACTACCACGACCGCGAGGAAGAAGAAGCTGGCGGCGACATCACCGGCCACCCCCAAGCCGGACAAGGAGAAGCTTCCAGATGGCGGCAAGAAGCAGCAGAGCAGCCATGGCAGCTCGGCAACTGCTGCTGCTGCCGACAGCCCGTCCTACAGGCTGGCTCTGAGGAGCCTCTTCTCCTGCCGGAACAGCCACGCGGCGCAGCACCAGCACAACCAGCGCGCCGCCCCGCCGCAGCCGGCGCCGGCGCCGGCTGACGACGCCTCCAGCAGGAGGTGCAAGAAGAAGTCCAAGAAGCAGACGCAGCTCGGCTGCTCCGCCTCCATCTGCAAGCTCCGGGACGCCAGCCCCCGCCGGGTCACGCTGCACCGCCCGCCCGCCGAGGAGGACCCGCCCTCCGGCGCCGCAGCAGGAGCAGGCGAGCCGTGCAAGCGCCGGGCGTCGGTGAGCGGGGGCGGCGAGCGGCGCGTGAAGAAGCCCCTGCAGCAGCAGCAGCAGCAGCAGGGGCAGGGGAACGAGGCGGCAGGGGCGGGCGCCGTGGTGGTGGGCTCGTCGTCCAGGCACTGGGGTTCGTCCACGGCGTCCTCGTCCTCCTCGACGGCGGGCGGCGGCGGCGGGTCGTCGTTCAGGCTGCGCAGGCTGTCCGGGTGCTACGAGTGCCACATGGTGGTTGACCCCGCCGGCGGCGGCTCCTCCATGCGCGCCGCCATCTTCCCCTGCCCCGACTGCGGCGACGTCTTCGTCCGCGCCGAGAGCCTCCACCTCCACCAGTCCACCCGCCACGCAGGTACACATCACTCGCTCTCACTCAGGGCATGCCGCCGCCATTGCAGTACGCTTGACCCTTCCTTGTGCTCCCTTATCCAGATTCTTCAGCTATGCTACTGTCAGAAGGAACACTGTATCTCCGTAGTGTCATTTTAGAAACAAAATTTGTGCATTTCTAATGGCACAAAGATTAGTTACATCCAATCAAATGTTAGTGGTACTGCTGTGCTTAGCAGAAACTTTATTTTTCTAGATTTGCCTAGCTGAAACTTTAGGAGTGATGAGACTGGTGAAAGTGAGCCCGGCCATGGCATGCATGATGCATGATGAATGATGTGTGCTTTAATTATTCCTGCTGCTTTTCATGATGGTGGTCTGGTCTCTAATCACTGTGGGGAGCATGCAGCAAAGTGTCTGTGCAACAGTCATCTAGCTAGCTAGGATTAACTTATGCATTAACCCACTGTAGAGTGCACAACATTTTTTTCTTCATCCAAGTACAATTTGACCAGCCACAGGACCAGATCAGTTAGAAGATTCGTAAGGCTTATCTTATGAATTATTCCACTGTAGACACACATATAAGATTGTTCCTGTCATCATCACATCACATGAATGACATGACCAGTGCTTAACAGTTTAACCTATTTTGCAAGTACGATTTGGCCAGATTATATACTGCAATTATGTGTTAATTAGATTATTGGGTTAGTGGAGCTGATATAAGCGAGAAAAAAAAATGGTGTTTTTGCCAGTGTCGGAGCTGGGGCCGGAGGACACGAGCCGGAACATCATCGAGATCATCTTCCAGTCGAGCTGGCTCAAGAAGCAGACCCCGGTGTGCGCCGTGGACCGCATCCTCAAGGTGCACAACGCGCCGGCCACCCTCGCCCGCTTCGAGGCCTACCGCGACGCCGTCAAGGCCAGGGCGCGCGGGGGACGGCCGGGCGCGGGGCGATGCACCGCCGACGGCAACGAGCTGCTCCGCTTCCACTGCGCCGCGCTCGCATGCTCCCTGGGCGCCGGCGGCGCCACCCATCTCTGCGACGCGGCCGGCTCGTCCTGTGCGGCGTGTGGGATTGTTCGGGATGGGTTCAAGTTCAGGGCGCCCGGGGTCCGGACCATGGCCACCAGCGGCCGCGCGCACGATGATGCGGTGGGTGGGGAGGAGGGGGAGGGTGGTGGTGAGCGGCGCAGGGCCATGCTCGTTTGCCGGGTCATCGCCGGCCGGGTGAAGCGCCGCTGCGAGGGCACGGCGGACAAGGAGGAGGCGGAAGCGTCGCCGTCGGCAGAGGAGGAAGCGGAGGAGGAGTACGACTCGGTTGCGGGGACGGCGGGGGTGTACTCGAGCCTGGACGAGCTGGAGGTGTTCAACCCCACCGCCATTCTACCCTGCTTCGTCGTCGTCTACAAGGCTTGACTCATAACTGACGATTATTTCCTAGCTACTCCTGTGCCTAGGGAATTAACTAATCAATTCCTTTCACGTCGACCTAATTACTTTGTTGCCTTTTCAGTTTAGTGGTAGACATGCTGCATAGTATCTTAATTAGTTTGTATGATCAGCAGCACTAGTGTCAATTCATCTTTGTATGATCAATGGCAATGATCAGATGCTACTTCAGCCTGAATTATATTTTCCGACATTTGCCGATATTCAGAATGCTCCAACGAATAGACTTCAGTTTAGCCAACAATCTCCACTTCAACTTGAGTATACGTATACAAGAAAAGTCTCTAGAATTGCTTGAAACTTTTCGGATCTCTTTCCGAAGTAACCGGAGAGACTGAGACTGGGACATGAAGAACTTTGTGAGTGCAGCTTAAGGCCCCGCTTGGATGGCCGTTTTTGCTTTCCGCGTGTTTTAGGATACAGCTGTATCTTACCGGTCACCAACGAAATCTCCTCGAAAAAAATACGGACCTCTAGAGACGCTAATCTCTGACGGGTGTATTACGGGTGTAAACGATGAAACGATCGTTTCAGGGTGTGCCTAAACGACCAACCAAGTGCGCTTTTTCAGCCGGAGGGGAAAAATGATTCGGAGCCGTATTTTACGCCGGTTTTGCCCTCAAACACGGCCATCCAAGCGGGGCCTAAGGGGTTCCATGCAGTCAAGTGACAATGTTTCTGACAGCACCATGTTCTTCAGCTTAATTCATGACAAGGGTTCACGGCGCATTTCCTCCTCTGCATATCATCATCATACACAAGGTTAGGCATCAGTTTTGTGCTAATCTCATGTCAATCTCATATCATCATCAGTGCTCTGATTCTCTTAACTCACATGTAAAAAGAGGGGTAAAAGGAAGCATGTAAAATTTGCCACTGTCTAGGAGTAGCACACAACAACAACAGTGCATCCACGGGATATCCCGTGGATGGTAGATAATGCATTACAGCAATCCAGTCATCAAGTCTGCGACTTGTCTTTAATTTGCATATGACTACACTTACATACAATGGATTAGCCCCTAAGTAACCTGCGGAACCAACCCTTCTTCTCCTCCTCCTTAGGATGGAATGGTTGCCTCAAGAACTCCCGCACGCCCCTCTTAAACCAGGTGTCGTTGCAGTACCGGAGATTGAACATGGCAGTGGACAGAAGCCAGACGACGGTAATGAACTCGCCGCCACTGTTGAGCTGCCTGGCGTGGGAATCCCTACTGCAGTGGTGGGCCGCATAGCACAGCATCTCCACCCACACCCCAAGTAGCACCTGCCGCACCTCTGCCTCGCCCTGCGCCTCCGCCTCTAGCAGCCAAACAGCAAGCGCCGCTCCACGAAATAAGGAAGGTGGAGGTGAAGGTGGAGGTATGGAATGCAGCTCCTCCAGCTTTTTCAGCTCCTCAAACCTCGTTCTGTTCAGCTCCTGATTCCTTATACTGTCCAGCTCCTCCCTTCTTCTGTCCAGCACCTCCAGCTTCACCCTTCTACTGCCCACCTTTAACCTTACAACGTCCAGCTCGTCCCAACTTCCGTCCAGCTCCTCCCTTTTTCTGTCCAGATCCTCCCTTATTACGTCCAGATCCTCCCTTATTATGTCCAGCCTATCCCTTACTCTGTACAGCTCGTCCCCGTCCGTTCTTGTGTCCAGATCCCAAATTCTTCTTCTTCTGTCCAGCTCCCCCCTTGTGCTGATGTGTTTCATGTCAAAAAAATCAAGCTCCGCACATGCTGCTTCAGTATTGGCATACAATCCGGGGCGAACAGGGCTAGGCAACATGTAGGGGCGTTCAGCAAGGAGGAATATCATATAGTTAGATACTGCACCTCTTCCAACACCAACTTCTTAGTACCATCTGAAACGACAGGTAAGGAGTTGTGCAGTTTCTTCCACAAATCTTTGCATCCCATGCACTCCACGCAACCTCCAGTGCCCTGGGCCGAGTTAAGCAATTCAGGCTGTCCAATGGAACCTGACCATCTTCTATTTCTCTCCGCGGCCTTGACACGCCGCCGGAAAGATACAACAATGTTGTGAAGCCGATGCCATCCTCTAGCATGCAACGATGCGCATGTCCATGTTGACCCCATTGCCTTCAACAATGTTGTAATCTCTAGGAGGACAGCCCCAGCTATTAAGATGTATGTGACAATTGCATCAACTCTGTTGAAGTCATTTTTGCCAATGCTTGATTGAAATAGGAACAAAGTGGTGATGCTGGCAACTGATGAAATGACATGGATGAAGCATCCATGCCATGTGAAGGCCACCGCGGCCTTGGTATATAGGAAATCATACATCAAGGAGAGCTGCATCTCAACCAACTCAAACATTTGCCCCCCTCTATCAAATAGCTTGACGGCTTTACTCTGGAATGGGGATGGCCAAAACTTATAGTCCACAAACTGAGCCATGCAAATGGGGAGCAGGTCATGAGCTCCCTGAAGAACCTCTTCATGATCCAACCTCTCCCCTTGGCCCCACTGTGCACGCTGTTCTCGTTTAGCCTCAGCCAACTTCCTGCTGTCGAGGAACTTACTCATGTTGTCCAGGCTGGAGGACTGGAGCGCCCATACTCTCTCCCCATACTTGAGAAAACCGCTGCAAAATATCAGCGCGGCGGCTGTGACCAAGGTCCAGCTACCAGCGACATACTTGTAGAGGACATATGCCACTCCCACCGTCTGCACGGCAAAAGAGAGCAGGTGACGTGGCCAGAGCTGGCTGTCTTCTATGGAGTAGGCAGTGATGTTGTCCTGGCCACCGAGATGCACCAGCAAGAATGGCGCCCAGAATGCCATGAGCTGTTGGCGCCCGTGGGGCTTGCCACAGAAAGACATGTGGCCGAGGATGTATATCGCTATGGAGTCTGCCAGCAAGTATGCTAGCCAGAGGAGGGTTCTTGGGACGATGGAGATGTTCCTCCGTCGCATCCTGGCGAACATGAGCAGGAAAACTTGCAGCATGAAGCTAACAAGCACTAGGATTTGGACCTCCCAATTATTCCATAGGTGCACCACTCTAGCCATCAGTGACCACTGAATGCACACAAGAATCATCATATTACAAACAAATTAGAGCACAAACGTATATTTCCTTCAAAAGAAGTACACACGCAACCATGAAGACAATATTACAGCCAACATGACAGTCGAATTGAACTAGTAAATTGCCCATATACTTAACCAACCTAATGACACATTCAACATAATCCGCACTATTTCAATCTCGACCTGCAAAACAAACCATCTAGACAATTTCTTATTGATATTTTAAATCTCTATTTAAGGTAGGTGCAAATGACGACACATCACAGAGCTCCATATAACCTACTACATATTTCTTAGGAACAATAGAACTAGTCATGTGAATCACTTGTGCTCGACTGATGTGTTAAGCTAGTAATTCTCCTACAATGCTTCAACCAAATATTTCGGCCCTGTTCGGCAATCCACCGACTCCCGGAATCTGGGGAGCAAGGAAACTGCACCTCCGCCCGCTCCGGGAGCGGCGCGATTCCGAACAAGGCGCTCATGTTGATAAGGGCCCTACTTATAATACATCTTCTCAAGAAGATATGGGGCATTTCCCTTATGCTGTACAATTCTGTATTATTTGAAGATGCAGAAAATACTCTACTACTGTAATTCAGCATATTTTTGATCCAAAACAAAGGGAACATGTACAGTTTGCTGTTTTGTGGAGCACCTAATTTGCAATTAATGTAGATCTTGAATAAACATGTAAGAGAGATTCACCTCAATGGCAGAAGAAGACACAAGGGAGGCTTATTGCAGAAGAGCAGCAGGACTCACAATCCTAATTAGCTCGCTAAGTATCCATCAGACAAATTGATCACCTGTGGTTGTGGTTGATCAGTAAATTGATCACTTGTGCCCCCGGGACCATTATATCAGAGGCTGTTGAAGAGTCGTCCTTCTGGCCGAGCGCATTAGCCTCTTGTAAGCTCTTCCTCTCGGAAGGAAAAGGCACTGGCCGGCCTTGCTTTACCGGTGATTAGTTAATTAATCGCTAGATTATCTGCCAAGCAAAGTACTAAAGCTCAGCGAGAAGAAAAACTAGTCCTTTGCTTCTGCAGAATTCAGAATCTTGGGAAGACAACCCATTCTGTTCGAAGCAAGGCATAATTTTTAGTTTGGAGCACGAAAGGTATATCATTAATTCCCCTAATAAGAAAATACCAAGAAGCAGGGCCTAATTAGCAGATGGCATTACAACCGAGTTGGCAGGACCCAGCTTATACCTTGCGGACTCGTCTCCTCCGGCCACTGGTGGAAACGTGGACGCAGTGAGCTCCATCGGCTGACAACGCTTGGCCCCCTCCGATTCGCCGGTAAAGGAGGATCCGGCCGTGCGCCGTTTGGGGCCCGGCGAGATAAGGGGGAGAGACGGGCGAGCGGGGGCGGTGGAGACCACATGGGGGACGGCGCATGGCGTTGGTAGAAGCGGCGGCGGCACTGCGGTGCGCTGCGGGAGGGGAAAGGCGGAAGCCGTGCTCTGTTTGGGGAAGACAGAGGCAAGAGCCACTGGCCGCTGAATGGCACCTGTAGGATCTGCATATATTTTGTCGTTTAGAACTTAACTCCTGTATGTTTTGGAACTTAACAGAAATTTCTTTCATATGTAACGAGACATTCTGCTTCATACAATTTTTTTTACCATGAAATTTAATTTTATAAAATTACTTATCAAAATCTAGAATACGAATCAACGCCATCGAATTCATGCGTGGCATATATTTTTGTACGATGCATATTTGGTGAGGTAGATATACATAATTTTATTTATAAACTTGTTCAAAGTTTGTCAAGTTGAATGCATACTGCTAGATACTGCCAAGGCAGTCTTCGGTTTTGTTTCGCCGACGAAATTAAGCCGAAGTCATATCACTATGATTTAAAAAAAGTTTATTGCATATCACAGTGATTGCCTGCGTGGACGCCCGACGCAACGATTCTTCTTTGAGTGGCAATGGTTGATGCAGCCAGGTTTTATGGAGACGGTTCGCCAAATTTTGGCAGTCGGGCAGAGGGCGTCTGCCACATCGTACGGTCCACTTTGTGATGGAACGGATGTGTGGTAGCATTGCATTAGGCGGCTTCACCGTCGCTTTAGGGATGGGGAGCAAACGTTCCCAGCAAGGTTGTCAAAATCGTGATTTTGTTATATGATTCTACGATCTTATGATCCAAACTGACCCCTCTGATTCTGCGAGTATAGTTCATGGAATCTACATTTCTACGATCTCGATAGCTAAGATTCTTACCATCGAAGCTCCAATCCAATTCGAAATAATGGTTCTGGCAACCTTGGTTGGCAGTGACCTGAAAGTGAGAAAGGAAAAAATTTCAACAGAGGTGGGGACGCTAGAACACTTATATTAAAAATTGATTTCAGTAATTTCAAAAAACGAATTCCCCTCATTTAAAGAAACTTGAGTCACTCATCTAAAAAAACTGATTTTACTGCATTCAGAAAACTGATCTCACTCATTCAAAATTTTTGAGTTCACTCATCTAAAAAAACTGATTTCACTTCAATAAAAAAACTAATCCACTCATTTAAAAAACCAAGTTCATTCATATAAAAAAACTGATTTCACTTCATTCAAAAATAATAATTCCAGACATTTTTTTAAAAAAATCACTCATTTCAATTAATTGAAAATAGGAGTGCTACATAAGCATATGCTAAAGGGGGAGGAATCCATTTATTATTTATTTCTTAGCCTGGGCCCAACTATGTATAGAAATCAATCTATTATTGCCTGCATCGACAACAAAGTAAACTAATGATCGAAATACTGAAATTTAGACTGCTTTGAAATGTATCCGAGATTCATCTTGTTCTAAAGGTCTCATCGCCAGGAATTCAAATATATAAGACATTTCAGAAACAGAATTTCAGTTTCAAAGATATGAATGTTCTAAAATATCAATAGGAAATTAAAGTGTATGGACTTGGCGTGGGGATAGATCACATGCACACGTACTATTATTTCATTGCATGGGGACAAAAAGTAGTGTTGTGAGGCTGCCGACAAGATAAGCCGAATTGACATACGGGAGGAAAAAAATACGGACACATCTCGAAGCATTCTTTTTGGGTCAGCCGTTTTGTGGCTGTCCGATTCTGCTTTGAGATGTGTGTTGTTTTCCTTTTTCTGTGTCATTTTGGTGGTGAGTTGGGCTGCGTGGAACCGATTGACCCCTATTTTGGGTCGGTCGAATTGCTACTTAGGCTCGTTTTTGCTCTTCTGTGTTGCGATTTTCATTTTTCATTATTCTTTCTTGTTATTTTTAGTTTTTGTGGGTTTTTGGCTGAGTGTAATTATACACATAAAAATACTATATGATATGTGCCAAAATATCGTGACTATATGATTATTTTCATTTATTATAGTAAAGTGCAATTTTGGTTCAAAGTTGTGCGCAAATTTTTGTTATACATTTTATTTGTTCTCAAAGGAAATATCAACGGCGCTAATTCATTCTTTTCTTGAAAAAATAAATCATTATTTTGATATTTTTTTAGTCTTAACTTCATATTCATTCTAATTTTAGGTTAATACCAATGCCACCATTCATTTGTTCTTAGATTTTGTTTTTGCAAAAGCTCCATTTCTTATGCTTATTCTTGCATATTTTTAAAAAGCACAATTTTAATGTATATTTTCATGCGAATTTCGCCAGTGTTTATTTTGGATTGTTTTTCTATTTTTTTTCATAAATGGTAATACCAATGCCACTAATTCATTCTTTCTAAGGAAATTTAATTCTTTCTTTTGTGTGTATTTTTTCTTAATTTTTTATTTCGGTTCTCTGTTACTATAGTTTTCCTTTTTCCTTTTATTCTTTCCTTTATTCATCATTTTTTGTTTTTTGTGGGTTTTGGCTGAGTGTAATTTCGTGATTATATGATTATTTTTGCATATTACCATCAAGTGCAATTTTGGTGTAGTTTTTTATTTTTTTTAAAGGAAATACATTATTTCAGTTACTATGTGTAAATTATAGTAGAACGCAAAAATGCACTATTATATGCTTATTCTTTGCATAATTCAAAAAGTGCAATTTCAGTGCAAATTGTGTGCAAGTTGTGCTCTTTCATTTTCTTTCTTCTTAAAAGGTATCATTCTTTCTTGGAAAACTTCATTAGTTTGATTTTGTTTTAGTTATTTTTCTAAAAGGGCCATACCAATGCCACGAATTCATTCTTTCATAGAAAAATTCATATGTTTTTTAGTTTTCATGTATTTTTGATTTTGTTTTAGTTTTCACTTCTTTTCTTTTGTAAGGGTAATATCGATGTCACTAATCCATTACTTTTGAGAAAGCACTTTTTGGTCGAAATATCACTATAGTATGCTCAGTTTTGCATAGTAATTATACATTTTCCAAATATATGTATGTGTAAACTTTGTGCCAATTTTGTCATTTTTTCATTCTTTCTTCTTAAAGGGTAGAATCAATGCTACTAATTCATTCATTCTTACCCGGCTTCATTATTTCATTTTGTTTTAATTTTTATTTCATTTTCTTTCTTCTTGAAGGTTAATACTGGTGCCACTAATTCATTCTTTTTTAGAGAACTTCATCATTTTGATCTTATATGCTTATTCTTGCGTATTATAAAAATGCACAATTTATGTGTAAATTATATGCAATTTTTATTTTTTATATTTAATTATGCTTTGCACAAGTGAGGTCTTTGATCATCGTTAAAGGGTAATATTAAATCAGTAAAATTAAGAAAACGGAAGTCAATTTTGTTTGTTTTTCTTTTTTTATTTGTGGCGTCTATCTTTTAAAAAATGTGAAATAATGCATGTCGGCACAATAAAAAAAAGCTGAAAACTGTGTTTCTTACATCAAACCCAACCAGCCCTAGCTCGCTTGCGTGCATGCACTATTCACCTTTATTCCCAGTCGCATGCATGCAGCTGGCCTTTTAATCCCGGCCTTTTAGCTCCGAACTGGGCAAGTAGAGAAGTTAGCTGATTGTAAAGGAAAAGCGACTGACCCAAATTGGATATTCAGTCAGCTGGTCCCTAGCCGGTCCCATGAGGAAGAACAGCCCTTGGGTATATGTGCTGCGTGTGCAGTCATGCGCGCCCTCATCTCATGTACCAAACGCGCATACACACGCATACGTTAAGCCTTAGCGTACGCGCGTACGTAGAATCCATGCCATTGCTGTCACGTCCCTTTTGCAGGAAAAACACTGGTGTCCATTGGAGAAACCTTGTGTTCAAAGTTGAAAGAAACACATCCGAAAACTGACAAGTTCACGGAAACGATGATGGAAACATAGGAAATACCTTATATGAAACAAAAACAGGAGGAATCTCAGGCATACATACAAATTCAACTACTTTGATAGCAAAATGAAAGGGACGGTTTTTTCTTCTTCTTCTTCTTCGAAAACGGGGTATCCCCATCGATCCTTTGCATCAATCGTTGCACATAACCATATATATTTGCTGCAAATAAATGATTTATCATTCATAGTCTCTGCACAAATTAAGTGCACAAATGGGTACAGATATGTCATCCAGAAAGATAATAATACCCCAGATGCAACGGCGAGCACTAGCGGAATCTATTACACACACGGTCAAAGATCTTGTTGACCGTTGGAAGGGTGTAAAAAGAAGATAGATTGTAACCCGAGGCCGAGGGGGCTTGAGAAGCATGGTAGGGAGACGGAGACGGAGCCGGAGTCCAGTGAACATTGACGGGAGCGTGCTGGGGAGGGGGGTATCCAACTCCAACACAGGCGCTGCTGGAGGCACCTCCGGCTCCTTATGCCTGATACTGATAGTAGGAGCCGTGGTCATAAGTTTGAGCTAGGAGTGGGACTGGGCTAGCTGCTGCTACCTGATTTGTGCGACCGTTTCTGATGAAATTGAGGTCGTTGATGCACTGGTTGATCTTTCCATTAACGCCGTCTAATTCAGCGGCCTTCCGGCTACGGGAGAATATATTGAACATACTTCTAGTTTGGCAGGACTGGATGAGCGTGCGCGCTTCGTCCAGGGCCTCCTTGAGCGTCTGCAGCACTCTCGCCGTGTCCTGGTCGTTGGCCGCCGCGTATGTGTAGTTGGGCAGTACGTTGGTCAGAATGCCCGCGCGTTGGGCAAGCTCCCGGCACTTCTTCTTGTTCTGCTGTGCCGTCTCCGCGGCCCTTGCGATCAGTTGCACCGTCGTTAGGATCATGCCCACCAGGCTCACTGGGTCGATCATCTTGAGGCGATCAAGCTAGCTAGCACAATTTTAGGTTAGCAAGACCTGGAGGAAGAGGTATAGAACCACCAACGGGATGGATGATAAGCAGAGACACATACCTTGCTGTGCTCCACGACGATCGGTGTGGGCGGTCGCCTCCCTCGCCGCTGAGGGGCAGTAATCAGCACACTGAACACATAAACATATAATCCAACTCAGTAAGTCTTTGATGCACGAGATGAAAAGGGAAGAAGAGGGCTAGATCGAGGAGGAACACTGGCCTGCTGGTGACTGCTGCTTTGCTTGAATCCCCCTACAGTTCATAGGGAGTGAGTATCGTATCTATAGGGCCGGCCGGGTCCTCTCGAGTGCAAGTTGGGCTTCATGCCATGTCAAGGGGCTTACGCGTATTGCCGTGTCTACGGCAAAGCAAGTCAGTCGTCTCTCTGTCTGTTAGACTCTTTCTAACTTGTAAAATCGACCTTGTTATTATTCTGAAAAACTGATCACTCCTTGTCTACGTAGCTATCCGTCCGTCTACTCAGTGGCCAGTTATAAAAAAAAAAAGCAAGTCAACTGCCTAGAGCAGCCCATAAACACGTACATTTGCTTTTTCTATGTCAAGGACACATACAGTTTTACAATCCCTCTGTTCGATCATGTTATATTATAAGTGTGTTGTTTCAGGATTTTTTTACAGAATTTTTAGGAACTTTTACACCGTCGAAAACTTTAAGTAGTTCTGTGGTAAGCCAGCTATGATAGAAAATCCTACTTCACCAACATATATCGTAAATCATTGTACTTGTAATATAATCTTTGCAAGAGACTTCAATACCCTGTCTTGGAGCTGAGATTTCCATGGTGCAGGCACCTAGTACTGTACACTGAAATGAATTCTCCATTGGCCCATGGAATAGACAGCATCATCCTTCCGTGACTGCAAAAACTGGGAGTCTTATAGTGGTGAGTCTGGTGACCAAGGGAAACTACTCATACATGCAATTATTTCTTTTCAAGGAGATGCACACACATATTGCTCACTCCATTCTCCACACAGAAAATTGTTACCCATTAATTCTTATTACACACAGGAACGATACGGCAGAACTGGCTGGTGCCATCGTCGTAAATTTCTAGAGATGTACATGAATAGAATTAACAATCAGTATGATAAAGTATTCACCCATAGCTCACATGTGCATAACTTCCTTTGCTTAGTTGTCATCATCCTCACCTTCTTGCACCTACATGCAGCTATGAGGTTTTGAGTTGTGCTAGGAGGAAAGCACCGGAGTCGTAGCATGAGGCCTTCATGGTAGCATGTTCCTTTCAATCTTAGTCATGTCCTTTGCTGAGGTTCAACATGGTTTCCGTGGTTGCACTGTGGCCTTCGCTAGAGCATCTAATACAGCTCCATAGTTCATGTCGTCTCTCATTGCACATGGATCGTTCCATCTCCACATGTTGCCTCGTCACACAAACCGATAATCCCTTCACGAGCCAGATCCGCGCGCTTTGCCGCCACCTCACGGCGGATAGCAGCTAGCTTGTCGGCCGAGCATCCAGAGTGTGGTCGCAACAAAGACATCCTTTAGCCAGTTGCTTGATTGCATCGAAGCTTCTGCACTTGCTGCCCATGGTCGAAAGCTTCTTGTTTTCCCTCACATATTTTAGAAGTATTAGGTGCAAATACACCCGGGATGACATGAACTATTGTCGCTTGTATAAGCAAGAGTATAAGCAAGAGCGCAGAGTACTCAGCAAATTGCATTTAGTACAAGGAATGTGGGTAATAGAATGTAGAGGCCGAGAGTAAAAATAATTTGAGAAGTAGTGGCCGATGGTGATGAAAACTTCCTTTTAGAATCAGGATTAATATAGGCCGACAGTTCATACAACATAAGCATATTGTTCCCCAAACACATAAACACGGATCAACTTGTCCAAAAAATTCCCAACAAGATGTTGCAAGATACCACTCCCTCCGTCCCACAATATAAGAACGTTTTTTGACACAATGCACTTATATTATGTTGCGAGGGGAGTACAATGCTTGTGCTTCTAGGCGGAAGAAGCTTCTAAATTCACGTGCCTGCGACCTTCCTCCTTCCACACAGTGTGCTGGAGCACACGGCAAGTCCATTTAGCGACTTTGGCGGAGACTTGGGAGACGCAAGGTTCAACTTGTGACGGTCCAAACGCTCCAGGTTAATCGGACCGTAGCTTAAGATGTCCACGTCCGGATTTGTTGTATTACGTGAGGAACAATTC